TTACTGGAATATTATTTACGACTATTAACTGTATGCAGTGGCGAATCTGAGTTTTCTGTGTTCTTTACTCTTCTGCTGTTGTTCGTATGTGTTCGGTCGAATGGTCTTGAGATCAGATATAGATGCGATGTCAACTTGGACGTTCTCTGAATTTGAAAATAATTGTTAAAGATCTCAACTTTGTACTCTGCTATGAGTATTTATTTTACCTTTGTGTATCTCTTCAGCTTGAGCTTGCGGCTTATGTTACTTTATTGAAATAATTTGATTCACGTAGTTGAGTTCTTGATTTATTCGGTTAAGCATGTGGTTTGAATGGGACGATTAATCCTCAAATGCCCAATCTGTAAAGCTTTTTATGTGACACGGTTGATGTATGTGTCTTCGGATTATGCTAAATCTTTGTGTGTGTTTTTTTTTTCAGGAGATGAGATGACAAGGGTCATCTGGAAATTCATTAAAGACAAGGTATTTCAGATTTTGTTTTCCAGCTGGATCTTGATATTTTCGTCTACTTAAATCACGGAGCTCAAATCTTAGGTTTTATTGTGTTGATTACTTGATTGCAGTTGATTTTCCCTTTCTTGGAGTTGGATATTAAGTACTTTGACCTCGGCCTTCCCCATCGTGATGCCACAGATGATAAAGTTACTGTTGAGAGTGCTGAAGCTACTCTGAAGTATGTGATTAATCTGAATATAGGTAGTGTCAGGTGGCATTTTGTACCTTACCTCGTCTGACCGGTCTATTTCATATGTTTTCAGGTACAATGTGGCGATTAAGTGTGCCACAATCACTCCAGGTAAGGAAGCTTACTATTATCGAGTGCTATTTATCTGAATCTCTCTTAGAATATAGTCAGATCATGAAATGAAATGGATTATCTATCATGCTTTTAAATTGAAAATATTTGCAGATGAAGCACGTGTGAAGGAATTCAACTTGAAGAGCATGTGGAAAAGTCCGAATGGTACAATTAGGAACATTTTGAACGGTAAGAAAATTTGGTCCATCTATGTGTCCACTACTGTAAAATGCTTGTGTGCTTTGTATCTCTTATAGTGATGTTTAAATTTTCTTGCAGGCACGGTCTTCAGAGAACCAATTCTGTGCAAAAATGTTCCTCGACTTGTACCAGGTAAAACACATCTCCAATTTTTGTTTTCACCATTCATATAGCTTGAGCTTTGTCCATGCGTGTTGACTTATTTGTGTCCCCTCACAGGATGGACTAAGCCAATTTGCATTGGAAGACATGCTTTTGGAGATCAATACCGAGCAACTGATACAGTTATCAAGGGTGCTGGACAGCTCAAATTGGTGTTTGGTATGGCTCTGTTTCCATTCTAATTTATTGCTTCTGAATTATGCAGTTTTTTTGTCAAGACTTGAAACATGCAATGTTTAGTACGTTCTGTCAGTTATGTTTGTTACTTGTTGCAACTGATTTGTTAAACAAATGATGTCGACTTGTGAGCAGTTCCAGAAGGGAAGGATGAAAAGACAGAATTAGAGGTCTACAATTTTACTGGTGCTGGTGGGGTTGCTTTGTCAATGTACAACACAGATGAGGTTTGTTTAGTCGATCTATAATTTTACTTTTTCTATTTTCCTTTTTTTTTTGCATTGAATTTTTTATTGTTTGTGATGGACTTTGGTTTGTGATGCGGCATTGGAACAGTCCATTCGTGCTTTTGCTGAGGCTTCAATGAACACGGCATACCAGAAAAAGTGGCCGTTGTATCTTAGCACAAAGAATACAATCCTCAAGAAGTATGATGGCAGGTAAGCACAGATAGCATTCTCACTATAAAAACACAGTTTATTTTCAACTTTATGGCTTCTTGCACTTAAGCTGCAAAAACACCTTGAAGCTTAGTTTGTTCCATTGTGATTATCTTCTCCTCATGTGAAATATTTGATAATTAATCACTACCGTATATATGTAGATTCAAGGATATATTCCAAGAAGTTTATGAATCAAACTGGAAATCGAAGTTTGAGGAAGCAGGAATCTGGTGAGTTTCTTTTCTTCAATTCATTATATATATATAACACTTTCTTGCATGTGATGGTACATAATCCTATTGTATATTTGTATAAAAAATTTTAGGTATGAACACCGTCTCATTGATGATATGGTTGCTTATGCTCTAAAGAGCGAAGGAGGTTACGTATGGGCTTGCAAGAATTATGATGGAGATGTGCAGAGTGATTTCCTGGCACAAGGTATAGAAAGCAAACCTCCGAAATCTTGAAGTTACATTTAAATTGAATTTGCGGCTTTCGAGATGATAGAACGAGAGTGAAAACAGCTTCATCATGAATTTGTTCTATTTTTGTTTTCACTCAAATTAATTCTTACTTTCATCTATTTATATTGCCACAGGATTTGGATCTCTTGGGCTGATGACCTCAGTCCTCGTATGTTTCGAGTCTCTTTTATATCCATGTGAAGCTTGTGGTTTTATCAAATTGCATGAATCTCAGAAAGTGTTTTTCCTTTTTACCAGCTGTCAATGTGTTCGGAATGTTGTATAAGGTTATTGGGTTTGGTTGATTTCAGGTATGCCCTGATGGGAAGACAATCGAGGCTGAAGCAGCCCATGGAACTGTTACTCGTCACTATAGGGTTCATCAAAAAGGTGGTGAAACCAGCACGAATAGCATTGCCTCAATTTTTGCTTGGACTCGTGGGCTTGCACACAGGTAATGATTTGTTTATATCATTTTGTTTAATTTATTATTGTTATTGTTATTATTTATCAGTGGCTCTGGCTGGGAATAATGAGTAAGAAGTTTTGTAGGGCTAAGTTGGACGACAATGCAAAACTCTTGGACTTCACTGAGAAACTTGAAGCTGCTTGTATTGGTGTCGTGGAATCTGGGAAGATGACTAAGGATCTTGCTCTCATCATCCATGGATCCAAGTAACCATTCGAGAATTCCCAACTAATAATATTCCCGCCATCTCTTTTTTTTTTTGTTATTAATTTTTTTCTTTTTGTAATTATGAGTGTTATTTCTTTCCTGTGTGATCATATTTTGTGCTCTTTCTTTGGCGGTGTAGGTTAAGCAGAGACAAGTATCTGAACACTGAAGAGTTCATTGATGCAGTTGCTGCTGACCTGAAAGCTAGACTTACTGCTTGACTCTAGGTATGTGCATATTTTTGCTCCTTTTAATGTTCATTGATTCATGCTTTGCTTTGGTTGTATTATTATTTGCCTTTTCTTTCTCTGTTTATAGGTCAGGGTAGCTTTTGGAGATATTTTCTCACTTTTTTGGATTTTCTGAGATGAATATTATGATGTGATCATTGCTGGAGAGGCTATTATCGGTGGTGGGAAATTTTTCCCATCAAGAAATCTGTTGCTTTTTATTGAACAAGTCATCTTCCATTTTAAGTGCTACCATCAAACTTTTGTTGCTCTGCATTTTGGTTTAATTATTCAATCAAATGTGATGTATTGCAAATGCGAGATATTAGATGTTATGTTATTTTATGGGTTATAAATGGAGGAGGAAATAACGATCGTAAACAATTACTGCCTTATTTAGAATTTGTTTGCTTTTCGTAGTATTGCCTCCCAGTCCTCTGGTTGAATTTGTTCTTAAAAGTGCAGCAATTCATTTCTAGTCATCATTTTCATTCATTATATGATATTGGAAAGTGTGCTGAAATGAATGATTGTTGGCTTAGTTGAGAGAACAAATATAGTTAATGGTATATTTCACGTTTAAATGATAATTTGATTGCCTGAAGTCTTGTATAATATAATGAGAATTATGTATTTCCTCGATCAGTTCGTTTGAGCCTAGGGCTGCAAATGAGCTGAGCAGAGTCGAGCATTGGCTTTATCGAGCAAGATTGTTTTTTTTTTTAGTTGCTCGAGCTCGAGCTCGATTTATGAGGTTTGAGCTCGACTCGATAAAAAATTACAATCGCTAAAGCTAGGCTCGAAATCAAAATACTCGAGCTCGTCTTGCAAATTTATAAGTGGGAAAATAAAATTACCATTAAACACGTAGTCTATACTATTGTAAAGTGTATATATATAGTATGGGTATATTAATAATTCAACATATATCTCGAGCCGCTCGACAATACAAAATATGAGTTCGAGCTCAACTCGAGTTCGTACTCGAGCTGCTTGAGCTTGACTCGAGTTCAGTCAAAATCGAGCTCGAGTCGAGTTTTGACTCGAGCGCTCGTGAGCTGCTCGCGAACCGTTTCCAGCCTTATTTGAACCTCAAAATATTTTTTTATTTGCAAGCATCTCTGTCCCTTTTGTTACTTCTATTTTTGTTTTTCCGAAAATCAGTCACTTGATCGCAAAGAACGAGTTTTCACAATCAAATTGATTGTTACTTTTCTCTTTGAACTATTGTGGGTGTCGAGTATCGTGACCACCACCATTTGATGGATGGATGTCATTTTTAATAGAATTATTTTGTGGTCCAGCCTGCAAATTTTGAGTAAACAATATATCCTATCCGGTGAAAAGATTTTTCCTCTACTGTGTTCTTGATTCTGATTTGGCTGCTTATTTAAGGAATTTGATTTTTGATGTGTATACTTTATTTGGGACCAGTGGAGTGGAGTGGTCCAATGGGTGAGCATATCAAAATGAGCAATTTGGGAGTTGCTTTTCTAATCACAATGAAAAGTAACTCTGTTTTTAGCTTGAAAAAAGACAATATTTTGTGTCGATTCAGTCCAAATTTTGTTATGATTTCCCCGGTATCAGTTGACACTTCAATTGTACTTTATTGTTTCGATTGTACTTTATTGAGTTTTAAGTTCTAATATATTGATGTTTGGAAAAAAAAAAAAAAATTCGAACTATCTTTATCATTGTTCGTTTGAAATTATACTAGTACATATATATGCGAGGAGAAGAATATCAAAACTACACTTATAAATTAAATGTGGGTTATATGAATATGTTATGTACATGAAAATTGGGCTCAAATTGTTTTTGATTTTGGAGTGTTACAAAAAAATAAAAAAATGATCTGCTTAAAATATAAATACTTCATTCAATGCAACTAATCAATGCAGAAATTTATTCTAGAAAAAATTACCCCCTTACATCTTCTTTTAACTTTTTTTTTTTTTTTTTTTT